CTGTAGTACCTACTACACTTGGGAGGCTGAGACAAGAGAAATGATTGACATGGGAGGCGAGGGTTGCAGTGAGCCAAGACTGTGCCACTACACTGGCACGTCTGGGAGACAGAGCAAGACTCGGTCTTAAAAAAAAAAAAAAAAAAAAGGGAGGCTGAAAAGTACTTGAAAAATAATGCTAAACGATTCTCAAATTTGACAAGAAAGATAAAGCTACAGATTCTGTAAGTTTAGTGAACTCAAAAGCTTAAAACTACATACATCTGTCCAACGCGCATTATAAACTTCTGAAACTAAAAGAAAAAAAATTATGAAAGTGCCCAGAGGACACCACTTTTTTTTTTTTTTTTTTTTTTTTGAGAGGGAGTCTCGCTCTGTCGTCTGGGCTGGAGTGCAGTGGCCGGATCTCAGCTCACTGCAAGCTCCCCCCCCTCCCAGGTTCACGCCATTCTCCTGCCTCAGCCTCCCAGTAGCTGGGACTACAGGCGCCCGCCACCTCGCGGCTAGTTTTTTTTATTTTTTAGTAGAGACGGGTTTCACCAGTGTTTAGGCCCAGGAAATGGTCGTCTCGATCTCCTGACCTCGTGATCCACCCGTCTCGGCCTCCCAAAGTGCTGGGATTACAGGCTTGAGCCACCGCGCCCGGCCACAACACCTTTTTTATGGGGGAAAACACGTTGAATGACAGCAGACTTCTCATCAAAAACAATGGAAGCCGACTGGGCGCGGTGGCTCATGCCTGTAATCCCAGCACTTTGGGAGGCTGAGGTAGGTGGATCACTTGATGTCAGAAGTTTGTAAAACCTTGGAAGCCATAAAGTGCACATTTTTCAAACTAAAGGAAAAGAACAACTTAGAATTGTACTCCCAGGGAAACTATGTTTCAGAAATGAAGGTGAAATTAAAATGTTTCCAGATAGAGGAAAACTAAGAAAATCTGTTGTCAGCAGACCTACCCTAAAAAAATGACAAAAGGAGGTTCTCTAAATAGAAAGGAAACAATAATCTTGGAACATCCAGAAGGAAGAAAGAACATGGTAAGCAAAAATATGGGTAAATATAACAGGCTTTCTTTCTTGAGTTTTCTAAATTATGTTTGGTGGCTGAAACAAAAATTCTAACATTGACTCATGTGGTTCTAAATGTATGCAGAGGAAACATTAAGACAACTGTATATTGAATAGGGGGAGTAAAAGAACAGAAAGGGAGGAAAGATTTCTGTATTTCACCAGAACTGATAAAATGATGACACCAACCTAGAGCATTTAACCACAAAAGCTACACAAAGATATATACCATTGATTCTCCAACAATACGGGTTTAAACTGTGTGAATCCACTTATACACGGATTTTTTCAACCAAATGTGGATTGAAAATACAGTAGTCTTAGGAATTCAACACCCACGTAAATGGAAGGCCGACGTTTTTATATGTGAGTTCCACAGGGCCAACTGTGGAACTTGACTATACACAGATTTTGATATATGAGAGAGGTCTTGGAACTAATCCCCTGCAGACACTGAGGAATAACTGTACTTAGAAACACTAGAAAATCAAGTAGGCTGGGCGTCGCGGCTCATGGCTATAATCCTAGCACTTTGGGAGGCCAAGGTGGGCAGATGACTTGAGCTCAGGAGTTCAAGACCAGCCTGAGCAACATGGCAAAACCCCATTGCTATAAAAAATAGCCAGGTGTGGTGGTGCATGCCTGTAGTCCCAGCTGTTCTGGAGGCTAAGGCGGGAGGACTGCTTGAGGTTGGGAGGTGGAGGCTGCAGTGAGTCAAGGTTGCACCATTTCCCTCCAGCCTAGGTGACAGAGTGAAACCCAGTCTCGAAAGAAAGAAAGAAAAGAAAGAAAAAGAAAAAAGAAAAGAATAAAACAATGCAACCCATAAAAATGCTGGAAAAAGAGAAACAAAAAGCAAAGAATAGAAAGCAAAAACTTAAATGGCAGAAAGCAGAATTAAGCCCTAACATATAAATAACTGCATTAAATGTGAATGATCTAAATACACCACTTGAGAAACAAAGATTGGCACAGTGGATTAAAAAACAGGATCCAGATTGGCTGTGGTGGATCATGCCTGTAATCCCAGCACTTTGGGAGGCCAAGGCAGGTGGATCACCGAGGTCAGGAGTATGAAACTAGCCTGGCCAACATGATGAAATCCCATCTCTACCAAAAACACAAACATTAGCCGAGCATGCTGGCATGCACCTATAATCTCAGCTACTCGAGAGGCAGAGGTTGCAGTGAGTCGAAATCACGCCACTGCACTCCAGCGTAGGAGACAGAGCAAGACTCTGTCTCAAAAAAAACCAGGATCCAACTACAAGAAACTCACTTCAGTTAAGTGATATAGACAGGCTGAAAGAAAAAGAATGGACCAACATATCATATAAACATTAATCAAAAGAAAACAGGCAGGGCTATAAAGTGGATAAAGTAGACTTGAGCCAAGAAAATTACCAGAGACAGAGGACATTATGTAATGATAAAAGGGTCACTCCAGCAAGAATAGCAATCCAGAGGTGCAAAGTATGTGAAGCAAAGACTGACACAATGAAAGAAGAGTCAGACAACTCCACAACTACAGTTGGAGATTTTAACACCCAACTCTCAACAATGGACAGAATTAGAAAGAAAATCAAAGGCCAAGCACGGTGGCTCACACCTATAATCCTGGCACTTTGGGAGGACAAGGCAGGCAGATCATTTGAGGCCAGGAATTTGAGACCAGCCTAGCCAACATGGCAAAACCCTGTCTCTACTAAAAAATAGAAAAATTAGCTGGATGTGAAGGCACACACCTGTAATCCTAGCTACCTGGGAGGCTGAGGCACGAAAATCGTTTGAACCTGGGAGGTGGAGAGTTGCAGTAAGCTGAGATCAAGTCACTGCACTCCAGTCTGAGTGACAGAGCAAGACTCTGTCTCAAAAAAGAGAGAGAGAGAGAGAGAGAGAGAGGACAGAGAGAGAGAGAAAGAGAAAGAAAGAGGGAGAGAGAGAGAGACAAAGACAGATAGATAGATTAGCAAGTATATTAAAGAACTTAATAATGCCATCATCCAACAGGAGCTAATCAACATTTATAAACATCACCCAATAACAGCATAATCATAAAACATATGCCAAGACAGACCATATTCTAGGCCATAAAACAAACAAATTTGTAAGAATTGAAATCATGCAAAAATATGTTATCTAACTGCAATGGAATTAAAAGCAAGAAGTCAACAATAGAAAGATTACAGAAAAATCTCCGCCAAACACTTGGAAATTAAATAAAACACTACTAAATAATCCATGGGTCACTGAAGTCTCAAGGGAAATCAATAAATCCAACTAACTGAATAAAAATAAAAGTGCAATGATATAATAAAATTGGGAAGTAGCCAAACCTATGAAAAGGTAATTGATAACACTAAAAATGCATACACAACAAAGATAAAAATCAGCAAGCTAAACTTCCATGTGAAGTACCCAGAAAAAGAGCAAAACAAATCCAAAGAAAACAAAATGGAGGAAATAACAAAAACAGAAATCAGTGAAAATAAAAACAAAAAAGAGAGAAATAATTGAATTCTACCAAACATTTAAAGAAGAATTGACACCAATCCTTTACAAACTCTTCCATAAAACAGAAGAGGAAGAAGACATCCTAATGCATTCTGAGGCCAGAATTACCTTGATTCCAAAACCAGACACAGACACCACAAGAAAACTAACGATCAATATCCTTTATGAATATAGACATAAAATCCTCAACAAAATGTTAGCAAACCAATTCTGGCACTTACAAAAAGTAAAGTCAGCCACAAGGGTGGTCAACATCTATGTCACTGGGCCCCAGTAAAAACTCAAAACACCGGATTCAGGGGAGCTTCCTTGATTGGCAGTAGTCTACGCTTATTTTCACTCATTACTGTTGGGGGAAGTAAGTGCTGTTTACATAACTCCACTGAGAGAGGACAACTGAAAGCTCTTCCTGGAAGTCTCCTGGACCCTGCCCCATGAGTCTCTCCTTTGACTGAGTTTAATCTGTACCCGTTTGCTGTAATAAACCATAACTGTGAGTATAACAGCTTTCAGTGGGTTCTGTAAGTTCGTCTAACAAATTATTAATAAACTTGAGGGTGTTCTTGAGAAACCCCTCAAAGTTTGCAATGACCAAGTAGAATTTATTCCAGGAATGTAAGGTTGGTTCAACATATGAAAATCAATCAATGTAATATACAATATTAAGCTGATTAGGACAAAAACCATATGCTTATCTCAACAGACACAGAAAAACGTCTGACAAAATCTAATACCCTTTGATTATAAAAACACTCAACAAACTAGGAAGAGAGGGGAACTGCCTCAAACTGATAAAGGCATTTACCAAAACCCCACTACCAATATCATACTTAATATGAAAGACTGGAAGTTTTCCTTAGAAGATCAGGAACAAGGATGTCTGCTCTTGTCACTTCTATTCAACACTGTACTGGAGATTCTAGCCAGGGCAACCGACAAAATGAAGTAAAACGCATTCAGATTGCAGAGGAAGAAGTAAAACTATTGTTATTTGCAGATATCATGATTTTGGATATAGAAAACCTAAGGAATCCACACAAAAAAACCTATTAGAGCTAATAAACAAGTTTGGCATGGTTACAGGACAAAAAATTGATACCCAAAATTCAACAGTATTTCTATACACTAGCAATTAACAATCTTAAAAGGAAATTAAGAAAATAATTCAATTTGTAGTAGCATCAGAAAAAATAAAATACTTTGGAGTATGTTTCACCCAACAAGTACAAAACTTGCACACCAAAAACTACAAAACACTGTTGAGCAAAATGAAAGAAGATCCAAATAAATATAAAAGGAACTCTGTATTCATAGACTCAGACTTAGTATTGTTAAGATGGCAATACTCTCTGTGATGACTGATTTTAACATGGCAATACTCTCTGTGATGACTGATTTTATGTGTCAACTTGAGTGGGCTACAGGGTGCCCAGATATTTGGTGTTATTCTGAGTGTGTCTGTGGGGTGTTTCTGAATGAGATTAACATTTGAATCAGTAAGATGAGTAAGCAGATTGCCCTCCCCATTGCGGGTGGGCCTCATCCAATCTACTGAAAACCTGAATAAAATAAAAGGTTAAAAGGAAGAATTTATTCTCAATGCCTGTCTTAGAGCCAGGACACTGGTATTCTCCTGCTTCAGACTTGGACTCAGACTAGAAATTACACTATCAACTCTCCTGGTTCTGAGGCCTTCGGATTTGGACTGGAGCTATACCATTGGCTCTCCTGGGACTTCAGACTGCAAATTTCAGACCTTCTCAGCCTATATAATCAAGCAAATCAATTCCCTACAGTAATTTCTCTCTCTAAACACACATACACACTCACACACAAACACACACACATACACCTCTATACCTCTTATTGGTTCTGTTTCTCTGGAAACCCTAAAACCACTCTTCAAATTGGTATGCACATTCCATACAATCTCTATCAAAATCTAAGCTGGCTACTTTGCAGAGATTGACAAGCTGATCCTAATATTCGGATGAAAATGCAAGGGATCTGGAATAGCCAAAACAATTAAGAACAAAAAGTTGGAGGACTCACACTTATTGACTTCAAAACTTACTGCAAAGTTACAGAAATAAAAACAGTGTAATACTGGCATAAAGATGGATAAATAGTTCAATGGAATAGAGAGCCCACAGTAAGCCCTCATATTTCATATGGTGAAGTAATTTTCAGTAAGGGTCATAATACCACTCAATAGTTAAAAGATAGTTCTATTCAACAAATGGTGCTAGAAAAACTGGACATCCACATATAAAAGAATAAAATTGGACCCTTACCTCATAATATATACAAAAATTAACTCAAAATGGATAAAAAATCTAAACCTAACAGCCAAAACTACACAATTCTTAGAACAAAACAGAAGGGAAAAGCCTCATGATAACAGATTCAGCGACGATTTCTTCTATATAACAACAAAAGCCAGACAAAGAAAAAACAGACAAACTAGACTTCCAAAATATTAAGACTTCAGTGAATCAAAGGACATTAATAACAGAGGCCAGAGACAACCCACAGAATGAGAGTAAATACTTGCAAATCACATATCTGATAGGGGATTAATATCCAGAATATATAAAGAACACCTAAATCTCACCACCAAAAAACAACCAACCAAATTTAAATCCAGAGAAAGTACTGGAATACACAGTCCTCCAATATACAAATGGTCAATAAGCAAATAAAAAGATACTCAACATCACTAGTCATTAGAGAAATAACAATCAAAAACAAAATGAGACATTTCACACTCATTAAGGTGACTATTATTAAGGAAAAAAAAAAAAAAGAAGTATTGGTGACGATGTGGAGAAACTGGAACCCTGTGCTTTGCTAGTGGGAAGTTATAATGGTGTAGCCACTGTGAAAAAGCCTGGCAGTTCCTCAAAAAGTTATACATGTACTTACCACATGGCCCAGCAACTGCAATTCTATTCCCAGGTATATAACTAAGAGAACTAAAAACACTACCACAAAAACTTTAACACAAATGTTCACAGCAGCATTACTGATAATAGACCCAAAGTGGAAAAACCCCAAACATCCATAAATTGATAAATAAACCATGAGGTATTAGCCACAAAAAACAATGACATACTGACATTTGCTATGACATGGATGAACCCTGAAAACAATATGCTAAGTGAAAGAGGGCAGTCACAAAAGGCCACATAGTATGTGATTTCATTTATCTTCAAGGTTCAGAATAGACAAATTCATATAGACAGAGAGTAGATTGTGTCTTCCAGGGACTGGGAGGAGAGAATGGACTGCTGGGCTTCTTTTGGGGATGATGAAAATGTTCTGGAATTAAGTAGTGGTGATAGTTATACAACTCTGTGAATAGACTAAAAACCAATGAACTGTACTCATCACATGATGTGTGGATTATATCTCAATAAAAATAAAAATAAAAAGTTTAATTTTAAAAAATGATTCAGACAACTTCTCTCCAAAGAAACAACAGTATCCTCACCTGCTCATAGATCTCAATGGCTTTCTGGTACTGCTCAAGCTGGGCAGCATACGCTGCCACCTTCAGCAGACACTTGTTTGCTGAGCTGAAATCAAGAACCAAAGCAGAATGAGTAACAAGCCAATGGAAAAATAAAAGATGTGCACTGGGCCTTAGTACATCTTCATTTGGTATAGTCAAATACACTCACAGAGTATAAAAAGAAGTTTTTTTTTTTATCACACATAATAAAACCCATTAAATTATATTAAGAAAAGTAATACTTGCCTATTGGATTCTTCTCCTTTGTAATAATCAGCAGATTGTTCATAATGTGCAATAGCCTGAAAACATACATATTTTATTCACACACAATTTATTTGGAGAGTTGCATTTTAAAGCCACATTTGCATAGGTATTTTTTTTATAAATAAACCTACTCTACCAGCAAACTTTTCACAACTCGGCCTATTTCTTTAGGAAATACAAGAAAGCATGCACCTCTGGAAGCAGAATGCTTGCTGACCATCAAAATCTGTTTCTCCCTCCCCACATGGCATATGCCCAGCTACACTACTTCCTCAGCTTCCTCTATAGTGAGGGGCAGCCTGTGACTAGTTCTCTCCAGTGGAATGTAAACAGACATGCTGGGGGCCACTCCCAGGCTTGGGCCATATATCTCACTTTGCATCCTTCTCCAGGCCTTCCACTTCCCATGAGCTAGGATGGCTATGACCAAGTTCAGAGTGACACTGTAAGCTAGACACCCAAAATGGCAGTAACTGTCAGGCAGATTCCTAAATAACTACAAAGGACACAATGTACCTCCAACCCCAGTGTCTCTACCACTGTCAAACCCTTAGTAGCCACACTGGATTGTTAGAGAGGTATGAAGCCCTAATTACACTTTAGGTCTATGACGTGCAGCACAGACTACACCCACTAATACCTTAAGTGTCACCTAGAATAAGGATGTTGCTGTCAATCTAAAAATATATGGCATCAAGTGGAGAGGAAAAAGAGATCACAGGCCAGAAAGCTAGAAGTCCCTGTCATGCTGTGATGAAAGTTAGTGAAATCAACCACGTGACAACTCAGAAAAAAGAACTGGTGTCGGCCAGGTGCGGTGGCTCATGCCTATAATCCCAGCACTTTTGGAGGCCAAGGTAGGTGGAATACCTGAGGTCAGGAGTTCAGGACCAGCCTGGCCAACATGGTGAAACCCTATCTCTACTAAAAAAATATAAAAATTAGCCGGGCATGGTGCAGGCACCTGTAATCCCAGCTACTTGGGAGGCTGAGACAGGAGAACTGCTTGAACCTGGGAGGCAGAGGTTGCAGTGAGCTGAGATCGCACCATTGCACTCCAGCCTGGACAACAAGAGTGAAACTCTGTCTCAAAACAAACAAAAAAATAGGTGTCTACCAGAGTCCAAAACTAAGCAAAATGGCTGAGAAAAGCCAGAAGATAGTGTGTGCTGCTGCTGTTAGCACAGTTTTGTGAGAGCTGAAGTCTGCAAAGAATCAGCTGGTTTGTAGACAGTTGTAGACAATCTTAGAAATAAGGCTCTCATAAGATTGAAAAAACCTTCTATATCCCAGATAACGAGAGGTAAGTATAAGCAGTTCTTTAAACCAGGGCTCTAGCCAAGTTTTTCTCTAACAAGATCAGACAAGAAATATTTTAGGTTTTGTGCATCTTTGCCACAACTACTCAGCTCTCTTGTGGTAGCATAAAAGCAGTCATAGACAAGATATAAATGAATAAGTGTGGTTGTGTTCCAATAAAACTGTATTTATGAACAATGAAATTTCTAATTTCATATAATTTTTACATGTAGCAAATGCTTTTTTCTCTCAAGGATTAAAAACTGTAAAAATCATTTTTAGCATGCAAACATACAGAAGCAGGTGGTGGGTTTGCAGGCTGCTTGAATTACAAAGGTTTCCCAGTAAATGCAAATGAGGGAGCTAGCAGTCTTTGAAAATCAGAGTAAAGGTGCTGCCTTTCTGCCCAAGCCCATTAGTTCAGTGGCTTCAAGGCAGCTCCTAGTGAGTTAGAAGAGAGCCGCAGGGACAAGAAAACAAATAAAACAAAACAGGCCATGGAACTATGTTAAAGTTAGAAAAGTACTTAGACCTGGCCCATCAAGCCCCAGGCCCCCAACTCCCTACAGATGGTGGTGGTGATGACCAAGAGCAGAAACTGAGCTACCAGAAGGCCGTAAGCTAGAAGTGGCAGAGCCAGTATTAGCCTCTCAGGACTACAGAGGAACCCTGCCTCAAACATTCACATTGAACAGTTCTGTGAAAAACAGACACTTATACTGTGTTTATATGATTACATTTTGGGTCCATGATTTCAGTCCTTTAGCATAACCTAATATGCTCCCCCAAAACACATATTTTGAACATTATTTACAGTAGAAGAAAAGTTGAAAAAAAAATTAAGTGGTTACATATAATGGGATACTTGAAAAGGTTTTTTTTGTTTGTTTTTTTTGAGACAGGGTCTCATTCTGTTGTCCAGGTTGGACAGGCTGGAGTGGCATGAACACAGCTCACTGTAGCCTCAACCTCCTGGGCTCAAGTGATCCTCCCACCTCAGCCTTCCAAGTAGCTGAGACTACAGGCATGTGCCACCATGCCCAGCTAATTTTTTAATTTTTCATACAAATGAGGTCTTTTCATGTTGCCCAGGCTGGTCTCAAACTCCAGGACTCAAGCAATCCTCCCATCTTGGCCTCTCAAATGCTGAGATTACAGGCATGGACCATCATGCCTGGCCTTCACAGAATACTGAATTGAAAAATGCAGCTATAAAAGAATAGGTATACTATGGTCCTCTTTTTGCAAATACTTAGTAACATACAGAAGTAGTCTGGAAGAAAATACTTCTTTGGAACACCTGTCAAAGCTGTTATGTACACACACATGGGATGACCTGATGAAGGTACATCTCCTCCTACTAAAATGTGGGCTCTGTGAGGGCAGGGCCATGACTGTTTGGCTCACCATCACAGCCCTGAGCCTAGCATGATGCCTGTTTACAAAGTGGGTGCTCGGTAACAGATGCTAAGTGAATGAAGGCAAAGTGCATCACAAATGAAAGCTGCCTATTAAACTATTGCCAGTATCATGATTATGTGAAATACTCATGAAATAAAAGGTGTTCAGCGAATTTATGATTAATCAATAACCTCCTTTCAACTGGCCTCATTCTCTAGTGTTTAGCACCATTTCCCATCAAAATAAACTGGGCAAATCATGATAAACCTGACCAAATCTGTCTGTGAAGAGTACTGGATTATCTAACCTCTTTTTCAGGACAGATAGAGTATAACTACATATCTTCCTAATTCTTACAGCACCAGAACTCAGTGAATAAATAGGGTTGGGTTAAACCATATGTAACTGCTGCTTTGGAGGTTAAAAAAGAAAAGGCTAGATGTTGACAATTTGGTGTAACTTAACACTTTGCCAATAATGGCACTGGCTCGTTAGAATTTTAGAGATGTAAATTACAGTTATATTTATCACAGCGAAAGAAAAAATTTCAAGTTGGTTTTTAATAATGCTAATTAAACCAATCATTAAATTCCATGGTTTTCCCAAGTTGTGACAGATTGTACTTGAAAAAAAAGCACAATTCACTGGTTTAACAGAGAAGTTTCAGAGAAGAGACTGGCCACAGGCTATCTCTAAATGTTCACATCTAGTTTGGAATTTTAACATGTAGTGAAATTTATCAGATACAAGCAGATCCTTACACACCAGAAATCAGCCTACCTAGATATCTGACAGTCCCAAGGACTATAATAAATGTCAAAAGCAGAACACAGCCACCAATAACAACAGCACACGTAACGATAAATCCAGAAATTTAAGACCAGCTGGTTATCCTGTTGTTTAAGTAGAGGGCCAAGGAAGTCACAACATTTCTGCTTGGGGCACCTGGATGAGTGTCACGATACATGGAATTCTGGAATGAGAAACAAGGGCCTTATGACTGCATCAATGATGCCATAAAGCAAATGCAATTTCCAGGCTTAAGAGTCCACTGTGTAGGTGAAATACCCTTAAGTAGCTTTAAAATGGGATCAATTCTTTTAGAACAAATGCCCCTAGAGGAGACCTAACATAAATCTGCCATATACACCTATTCTATGCTGTAACTAACAGTATTAAATAAGGCTCTCCAGAGGATGAAAATAGAATTGAATTATATTTCCTGTAGATCATTTTTAAAAACCATCTAAAAAGGACCCATTTATTACGTGGTTCAGTGTTTTACTTCATGAAGTAAAAGAAGCAATGCAGGAAGATGAAAGATCTCTACAATGAGAATTACAAAACACTGCTCAAAGAAATCAAAGAAGACACAAGCAAATGGAAAAACATCCCATGTTCATGGATAGGAAGAATCAGTATCACTAAAATGGTCATACCACCCAAAGCAATTTAGATTCAATGCTATTCCTGTCAAACTACCAACGACATTCTTCACAGAACTAGGCAACCCTATTTTAAAGCTGGAATCAAAATCACATATGGAATCAAAAAATAGCCTGAATAGTCAAGACAATCCTAAGCAAAAAGAACAAAGCTAGAGACATCATGTTACCCCACTTCAAACTACACTACAGGGCTACAGTAACCAAAGCAACATGGTACTGGTACGCAAACAGACACACAGACCAATGGAACAGCATAGAGAGCCCAGAAATAAGGCCACACACCTACAGCTATCTCATCTTCAACAAAGCTGACAAAAACAGGCAATGGAGAAAAGACTCCTTATTCAATAAATGCCGCTGGGGTAACTGGCTAGCCACATGCAGAAGATTGAAGCTGGGCCCCTCCCTTACACCATATATTAAAAAAACTCAAGATGGATTAAAGACTGAAATGTAAAACCTAAAACCATAAAAATCCTGGAAGACAACCTAGGCAATACCATCGTGGACATTGGAACAGGCAAACATTTCATGACAAAGACACCAAAAGCAATTGGAACAAAAGCAAAAATTGACACATGAAACTTCAGAGCTTCTGCACAGAAAAAGAAACTATCAACAAAGTAAACAGACAACCTACAGGATGGAAGGAAATACTTGAAAACTATGCATCTGACAAAGATCTAATATCCAGCATCTATAAGGAACTTAAACAAATTTGCAAGAGAAAAACAACTCCATTAAAAAGTGGGCAAAGGACATGAAGAGATACTTTTCAAAAGACATATATGCAGCCAACAAGCATTTTTTAAAGATCAGTATCACTCATCATTAGAGAAATTCAAATCAAAAGTACAATGAGACACCATCTCACACCAGTCAGAATGGCTATTATTAAAAGTCAAAAAACAACGAATGCTGGTGGGGTTGTGGAGACACTTATACACTGTTGGTGAGAGTGTAAATTAGTTCAACCATTGTGGAAAGCATATGATGATTCCTAAGAGAGTTGAAAGCAGAACTACCATTCAACCCAGCAACCCCATTACTGGGTATACATCCACAGTAATATAAACCATTCCACCATAAAGACACATGCACATGAAAAGTTCACTGCAGCACTATTCGCAACAACAAAGACAAGGAATCAACCTAAATGCCCATCAATGGTGGAATGGATAAAGAAAATGTGGTATGTATACAACACAGAATACTATGAAGCCATAAAAAAGAACAAGATCATGTCTTATGCAAAAACACAGATGGATCTGGACGTTATTATCCTCAGCAAGTTAATGTAAGAACAGAAAACCAAATACTGCATGTTCTTACTTGTAAGTGGGAGCTCAATGATGAGAATACATGAACATAGACACTGGAAACAACAGACACTGGGGTCTACTTGAGGGTGGAGGGTGGGAGGAGGGAAAGGAACAGAAAAGGTTAACTACTGGGCACTGGGCAAAATACCTGGATGATGAAATAATCTGTACAACAAACCCCCATGACACAAGTTTACCTGTATAACAAATCTTCACATGCAGCCCTGAACTTAAACATTAAAAAATTCTAGAAAACCCCAAAACATGTTATACATATTTTTAAGGTTTCACAAGATTTTTATTTGTATTAGGTATGTTACATCTGCTTGACTTATCAGCTACTAATATACTCTATCTCAAAAAAAGAGGTAATATGAAGCTATGAAACTACACACTTCACTGTCCACTAACTAAAATCTGTGAATGATCTAAAATCAGAGAAGGGACATTAGGTAGGAGCGCTAAATGAGAAGAAAGTGATCTGTAACAAGCCAGATATAAGGTACCTTGGGTGTAACTGATTTTTCAAACATTAATTTCACAATCCACCAACCACAATCTGGTGAATCCAACCAGGGAAGATAAGGTAATAATACTTCCTTTTATTATTTTTTAAGAGGAGGTCTCACTACGTTGCTCAACTCCTGGGTTCAAGCGATCCTCCCACCTTGGCCTCCCAAAATACTGGGATTACAGGTGTGAACTACCACGCCTGGCCAGGTAATGATGTTTCTAAACAACTCAGGAGCTTAAACATTAGGGACCGTAACAACCTAACCCTGTGCCTACACGTGTGTGTGTGTGTGTTGTATGTGTGTGCAAATGTGTTCAGTAATATTCTTAAATTGCTTTTGTTGGGTATTTTTTTCTTTTCTTTTTTTTTTGAGATGGAGTCTCACTCTGTTGCCCAGGCTGGAGTGTAGCAGTGCCATCTTGGCTCATTGCAACCTCCGCCTCCTGGGCTTAAGAGATCCTCCAACCTCAGCCTCCCAAGTAATTGGGACTATAGGCACGCACCCCCATTCCTGGCTAGTTTTTTTTTTTTTATTTTCTGTAAAAACGAGGATTTCTCATGTTGCCGAGGCTGGTCTTGAACTTCTAGGCTCAAGAGATCCTCCTGCCTTGGCCTCCCAAAGTGGTAGGATTATAGGCATCACACTGTACCTGGCCTTTTTTTTTTTTTTTTTTCAAGAGGAAAAAAGAGTATGTCACATTTCATTTTATCTGCTCTCAAGTTTATGGAGACCCATGTGTTGGAGACCATGCCTGGGCAGCAGAAATGACACAGCACTACAGGCTCCTGCCCCAGAGTGCCCTTCTCACCACTGTGAAAGAGGAAGCTGGAACAGGAGCCTCTGCTGGCAAAGATGCTCTGTGCACAGTGCTCATCCCCGCAAGACTCACTCAAACCTAAATAAAGATACTGTGGCCATCGCAGACACCCTGACCAAATAAATACCCCAGCCACACCAGACCCATCTCCCTCCCGTTTCATCATCAATTCCACACCAGGGAACAAAGGAGGTTCAGGTCCAGCTCCATCACCTTCCTCCAGGATCCACAGATAACCTTCCAGAGAGAAGGTTCACATGCACATGTCAATGCACAGGGTGGCCCTGACTTGATCAAGATCAGGGAGTATCCTCAGAAAAGTATGGCAATTATGAAAAGAAAAAAAAAAAAGACGTCAAATAATAAATTGTAACAAATATGATCAAATTTTGTGCTGAATAACAGGTGGAGGTCACACAGTCAAAAGAGTGAATGTTAACAATGCCAGTACAATTGTAGTACTGCCTAGCAGATCTTTCCCCAGACCAAGAAGACTCCATTTGGTATGGTGGAGGTAGGGGTAGCATTTGTTTATTTAGCAAATATTTAGACCCCGCTAGGTCCCAGAGCTCTTGGGACACATCAGTAAAGCAGAGACAAAGCTCTCTGCTGACATGCGTGCCTATTCGGGCAGAGGAAGGGAGACAACCAATATGAGAATGATGAGCACGCATATGAGAGGGCATGTTGTAAGGTGATATCTGCTCAGCAATACAAGAAGTTAAGTGAGGTGTGTGGGGATCTGCTATGCCTTCCCGGGGGGCTAAATTAACTAGGGGGTCATAATAGGCCTCATGGAAAAGGTAATAAATGAGCAAAAATGGAAGGGCATGGAGAAGTTAGCCATGTGGACTTGAAAGATGTGAGGAGTCAGCCACGTGGACATCTGGGGAAGAGCTTTGCAGACAGAGGAAATCTCGGGTACAAAGGTCCTGAGGCAGGAGTGCTCATCTGGCACGTGTGTGGAACAGCAAGGAGGCCAGGGTGGCTGTGCAGGGTATGCAAGAGGAGGGGAGTAAAAGAAAAGAGGAGAGGCCAGGCCACACAGGTACATGGGGAGTGTGGGGCTGGGAGGAAGCAATTCAGTGGAGCCATGAAGGCTCCGCACAGTTCCAGCTGTTCCTCTTAGTGAAAGGGGGCTAATGAAAGGCTGTGAGCAGTGGAGAAACAGAATATGATGCAATGCCTAGAAGGTTCACTCTGGCTACTCTGTGGCAAGGGGATGTGGGGTTGGCAAGGCAGGGGGAGCAGAAGCAAGGAGACCGGTTTGAAGGATCCTGCAGTGATCAAGTGCGAGCTGGGAGACAAGGTAGTGAGTTGTGCTGAGACTTGGGAGCAGGAAAGACCCTGCTCACAAAAACTGCTCACAGGTTGTAGAGAAAGAGAAAAGGCAAGGAAGCCTGTAGTTTAGAGGGGAACACTGGGTTGGGGACAGGGCATCTGAGATGGGAATCCAGTCCCAGACAGGTTAGAGATGACTGCTGGACAAAGTGGAGAGGTCAGCAGGCAGGTGGATACAGGAATCTAGCATTTGGAGAGAGGTCTGAGCTGTAGTCAGATTTGTGAGTCACTGGCATACAGATACTTAAAGCTGTGATGCTGACTGAGTGTAGAGAGGTCACCTCTTACGCTTTCTTCACTGGGCCTTAGAGTACTAAGCAATACAGCCGAAGGTTCTTTTGGCAATGCTAATGTTCTGACGTGAATCAGAGAGAGTGGAAAAAACAGGTGATTTCTGTAAATCTTAACCAGCTCTCATGTCTTAGATGCCAACTCCAGGAAAACAGCCCACTACTTCAGCCAGCTAGACCCTAAAAGTCTCCAGGCAAGGCCATCTATGATCACTCTATACCTATGATCACTCTCAAACTGAGGACAAGAGAGTTCTTTGAGTCAGCTTATCTGCCTGCTTCACATCTGAGGAAGTGTGCCCACTGCTTACCTTCTCAATGTCTACAAGTTCAGTCTCATAGATCTCTGCAATAGTAATGTGGTGCTTGGCTGCAATTGTAAACCTTCCCTAGGGGAAAAAATAAGAAACAGTCACACATCCATTTTCCTATCTGAATGCCAGTTTGGGAACATAAAAAAGAGAGAGAGCACTCCAAGCCATCTGAAGACTCCACCCCACAGCCACTCAAGCAATGCAATGTCTTACCATGTCTGTGTAAATGTCGATGGCTGCATTTAAGCAGTTGATAGCCTCTGAAGCGTAGGCATTTAAGAAAAACAACGAAAAAATCCATTCAGTCAAAGAGGGTTCAGGTGAGGCTGTCTTCTTGGCTGTTATTAGAACGTTAATGAGGTATAATTTTGGAGTGGAGGGTGGGCAGGTTAGTTAGTGAGAAGCAAACAAAAATCATGCACAAGTCCAGATTCATCAGCATGGCTTTGTTCCCAGCAGCTACAGTATAATTTAGGGAACTGTAGCCGGAGTAACATTGTCTTAGTTACTCTTAACCTTAACGTGAGGACTCCATCCAGGCAAAAGACTGTATTATTAAAAAAATAAAACCATGGAGGTTGTCACCAACACTGATAAATTATATCTGCTAAAATATGAATGCAAACATATTCCTCATTAATACCATGCATATATATTAATTTTGGAATATGGCACCACATCACAAGAACGATCACCTCAATAGATTCTACTCTCCATGCAGCCAAAAGCAAAAGCACTTTGAAATGCCTATTCAAACAACCCTTAAGCAAAGTCAACATTCTGTATAATGTTCAAAGATGCTAAATTGTAGCATACTAACAAAATGAAGAAACAAATCTAATAAATAATAATGCTAATAAATTATACTAATTTTCTTAAAAAGTAAGCCAAAAAATTTTCCCTATCATAAAATGATGGTGTTTATAATGCTGGCATATAATAAGCTCCAAGTTTATTACTTTTGGTTTAAAGAGGCAGCAAAGTAGAACGGCCTGACTACAAAATTAGAAAGGTAAGCAGATAAACAAAAATTAAAACAATTTCCCTCTAAACTACATAAAAAATATGGATCCCTGTTATACCTTTAGAAATACAGAATATAAAGAGAAAAATTATCTATCTATAATCCCACTCAAATCCGCTGTTAGTATTCAGATGTGCTTTTCCTTTGTTTATTAAACACATTTCTATACGCACAAATTTTTTTCTAAAAATGAGATTATACAACATTCAATCTCATGTGCTTCTTTAATTGCCATGTAAACATTTACCAGGTCACTGAAGATTCTCTGAAACCAGGGATTTTAATGCCTGCACCATATTCTAAAGTCCTGATGCATTACAATTTTACTACTCTAACAGCTCATTTAACCTATGAGTTTTTCACTTTGGGAAATAAACTGTGATTAATCCTTATACAAAAGGTCGTGAAGATACCCTATTTCTTTATGACATATTTATTCTCAAAATTTGGGATTTGGTGTTAAACAAAATGGACTGCTAAAAGAAAAAGGAAAAACACAAAATTTCTGCCATGCACACGGGTGGAAGGGAAGAAATACTTTTAATTACACTCTTCTAACTAAAAAGAAATAACCTTTGCAAAATTTTATCACATTAAATATCCAATTGCATTCTTTCCTCAAAACAAATACTTTGAAAAACACTTTTTAAAAAACCAAATGGATACTGTATGAATAAGACTTTTTAACGATTGAATATTACAATTTCCCATTAACTGGATCTGAAAACTCCTTAGGTATTTAGGAGTAAGGGAACATAAGAGTTTCCTTTTATGAACAATATACATTTTCACAAAATTAAGATACAAGAAGTCTTATGTAAAATCAAAGGTTATTTCCAAAAAATTCTCTAAAATGCAGTATAAATGGAATTTAATTAAATGATGCTATAAACTAAACAGCCAGTATAAATTTAACATATTTTCTCCTCATAAAAGCCCCCAAATGATTAAAAAATAAAAATCCCTAAGGTTATAAAAATTTATCTATTATTCCAAAATACAAAAATTCCTTTTTACCAGGACTCGAAAGGACACCAATACTGACCTTAACGTTGAGGGAAGTACTGACTGGTTAGTTACACACAGAGATACGCATGCTACGCGCCTGGCTGCCTTACCTTGGGGATCTGCCTTTTTGTAAGCATTTCCAGCATCCACAAAGCTGGTAGCGGAGTCATGTTTGCTCTGAAGCTGCATGTGGAGCTTGGCTGCCTGACAAAATGCGTTTCCTGCAGCTGAAGAAGACACTACAATTAAACACAGAGGAATAAGTCCCCCCCAGAGCAACCCATGCTCTAAGTAGTGGACCTCCCTATTATATTCCACTGAAAAGAAGCATTCTAGTCAGAAGCAAAAATCCATGTGGTCCAGTGCACCTCGGGCAAATATAAAAATAACCAGAATCAAGTCAAACAGCAATGAAAGCTTCTCCACCTCAGCCCCAGGAGACTTTCCAAGTGTCCCTGGGCACTAAGCCACCATTCCCTGATCTGACCATTCAATACCAAAAGCCAAGTCTTGGGCTACTGAATTCAATTCCACTAACACATAATAAACACCAGCTAAGGGCTTCAAGCCACAAATGATTAAAGAAAGGTAAAACACTAAACTCAAAGATATTTGCTCACTTTTCTTAGTGTCTTCTAGACTTAGCTGTCAGAGTGGAAGAAACTGCTAATGAAGGGCTTCGTGGATAAAGTAAGTTTCCTAAAGAGTGAAAATCAGGCCTACAATTTTGAAATCCATAAAAGTCTAAAAATCCAAATTTTTTTCTTTAGTTTATAGCAAAATCTGACTGAAATTTATATGAGGTTTAATCTATTTTACCCCATTTAGTGTGGAAATTTACACATTTCCCTGCAGAATCACTGATGGATCTGGTTGTGGGGTACTGCCCAGGTCTCCAACTGGGACATGCACAACATACAAGGTACACGACCTAATCTTTTTCAGAAAAGGTTTTGGATCAGGGACCATGGATTCTGGAGTGCTGGAAAAGAAAGAGGGAAGGAATCTCTAGCAGAGGAGTCACATGAACACTGAAGAAATGCTTGCAGGTAAGAAAGGGCTGGAAGTGGAGGCCAGTGACAAGCCTGCCATGACTGGAGGAGGGCAGTGGAAATCAAGGGTGAAGCTGCATCAGGCCACGTCTGAGAGGGTTTAAACATCAACAAGGGAAACTTCCTGAGTTCAGAGAAGCAACACGGCAGAGTGCCTCCGAAAAATGAGTCACATTGGGGAAGTCAGTACAGTAGAAATGGAAAGGAAAGAATCTGATCTACCACGAAAAGCATGGTTAAGAATATCACAAAGCCTTTAGGTTTCTAAAAAAATTATCATAAAGCAGTACTCACTGCCGATATTAAACATTTGCTATAAATTGTTTTGTGAGGAAAAAAAGTACAATTCTTTTCTTTTGTTCGAGACAGGGTCTCAATCTGTCACCCAGGCTGCAGTGCAGTGGCGTGATCACAGCTCACTGCAACCTCTACCTCCCACGATCAAGAGATCCTCCTACCTCAGCCTCCCGAGTAGCCGGGGACACAAGCGTATGCCACCACACCTGGCTTTTTTTATTTTTAATTTTTTAAAATAAATTTTTAGCTGGGTTTGGTGGCTCAAGCCTGTAATCCCAGCACTTTGGGAGGCTGAGGCAGGTGGATCACCTGATGTCATGTGGCAAAAGCCCATCTCTACTAAAAATACAAAAAAATTAGCTGGGCACGGTGGCAGGTGCCTGTAACCCCAGCTATGTTGGAGGCTGAGGCAGGACAACTGCTTGAATCCGGGAGGCGGAAGTTGCAGTGAGCCGAGATTGTGCCACTTCACTCCAGCCTAGATGACAGAGCAAGACTCTGTCTCAAAAAAAAAAAAAAAAAAAAAAAATTTTGTAGAGACAGGTTCTCACTATGTTGCCCACGCTGGTCTTGAACTTCTGGGCTCAAGTGATCCCGCCTCAGCCCCCCAAAGTGCTGGGATTACAGGTGATTATACCTGGCCATAAACATCCAATTCTGCTAAAGCTTCAGTTGCATCTCTTGTTCCAACTCACTCTCCCCAGAGGAAATGCATAATTCTCATGTGGGTTTCTGAACCTGAGGGCAAAGGGACAGTACAAACTCTGGAGCCCACCTGCCCAGGTTCAATTCTTGCTCTGTATCTCAGTTTCTGATTAAAAGAGTACCCAGGCATCTTTGAAAAATATGTAGCCACCAGCATGACATGGGTAGTGCTATGATCTGAATGGTAGTATCCCCCCAAAATTTGTATTACTGGAACCTGATATCCAATTTGACAGTGTTACGAGGTGGGGCCTTTGGGGGAGTGACGAAGTCATGAGAGCACCACCCTCATAAATGGGACGAGTGCCCTTATAAAAGAGGTTGAAGAGAGCTGCCATGCTCCTTCCACCACATGGGAACACAGCAAGAAGGTACCATCGTGGAAGTTGAGAACATTCCTCACCAAACACGGGATCTGCTGGCACCCTGATCTTAAACTATCCAGCCTCCAGAACTCTGAACAATACATTCGTTTTCTTTATAAATTACCCTAAGGTATTTTGTTATAGCAGCAGAAAGAAAGCAAGGCACTGAAGAATCAGAGTAGATGCCAGCCTCAGGGCTAGAGCTGGAACTGAAGAAGCCCTGCTGGCCCCTGGTGAATCATGAGAGGCTGGTGGGTATCTAGGAGGGGCAAAGGCCACTATCAGGGCAGTGGCCAGGCACCTGGGGTACTTGGGGCAGCACTTAACCATGAAGTGGCAGCTCAGTAACATATCTGGCTAAGTGGGAGCTTTGATGGGTTCTGCCTCAGAAGAAGGTAGTAATAGCTTGGACTTCACAAGTAAAGTGCTTAGAAGGGCCTGACTCACATTACACACAGTGGCCACTTTCATTATTATATGCAAATCTAGCCTTAGTTCACACCTGCGGTCTGGCATGTTGAAATGCCATCATTTTTTTACAACGTACATCCTTGCTCTCCTGCTGGCATTTCATTTTTAGTAACTTATCTATGTTTCCTGTCCCAGAATCAGTCATGGTCCATCCTTTTCTTGCTCAGTAATACCACAACACCCAGGCTCTTCTAGGCTACCTCCATCTCCAGACAATAGTAAGTGCTTTAATTTTACATTTTCACATTCCCACAACCCAAAACGAGTTGTTGGCTTACTTTTTCACTCTGACTATTCATTCCAATCATTAATAGCAAATGCTAGCTCGGTCTATCTAAACTTGGAAGTGTCGGGCCGGGCACAGTGGCTCATGCCTGTAATCCCAGCACTTAGGGTGGATCACAAAGTCAAGAGTTCAAGACCAGTCTGGCCAACACGGAGAAACCCCATCTCTACTAAAAATACAAAATTAGCTGGGCGTGGTGGCGCATGCCTGTAATCCCAGCTACTCCAGAGGCTGAGGCAGGAGAATCGCTTAAACTCGGGAGGCAGAAGTTGCAGTGAGCCGAGATCGCGCCACCACACTCTAGCCTGGATGACAGAGCAAGACTCCATTCTCTGAGGTGGGGGAGGGAACTTGGAAGTGTCTTTAAAGGAGCATATATTAAATTAAATGGCCTCTGAGAAGCCACACAACTTGGGCTAAATTTCCTCACCTGCAAAACTGGTATAATACCTGTCAGGATGATCTCTCAAAAACTGAGTATCAAACAAATTAGCTTAATCATTATGAAAGAACTTTTAAAACTATAAAGAGATGCAATGCTGTTATGATCATCACCAATGCAACATGGATAGAATTTCAAGGAATCTAATATTCATCCACTCAATAAATACACTGAGCACCTATGACTTTGCAGGTAATAATCCAAGGCCTGGAGATACAGCAGAGATAAAACACACAAATGTGGCCTTCCAAGGTTTACTGTCTAATGAGAATCACCATATAATAAAAACGTAAATATAAATCAATAAAACATTATGTAATTTATTTTTGCTAGATGGTGATAAGTATGTTGGAGAAAAAAAAAAAAGTTTCCAGGAAGGACAAGTTTGTTATTTTTAAAAGGGGTGGCCAGAGAAGACCTCACCAAGAAGATGACATGTGAAGAGGGAGCTGAAGGAAGTAGGGACCCAGCAACATTCTGTTTGGGGGAAGAGTAGGGAGACAGGGGGAACAGTACATGCAAAGGCTCTGAGGTGGGAGCTGGGTACACAAGGAAGGGGATAGTCTTTGAGGGCCACTACAAGGAGGTCAGCTCTTATTTGGAATGATATGACCTTACTTAACTTGTGTTATGTTACTTAATTAACACATTTATGCCTAGTGTTCCTTTACTGGAACGCTAAGCATGTGAGAGGTATTTATATCCCATCCTACTGCTAAGGTCATCACCAAAGTCTGATTTCCGAAATTCAAAAAACTGCAACCTCAGACATAAGTGGAAACAGATCGGAAAAGTGCAGAAGTATGGCAACGTCAGGAGGCTAGAGCGTCATCCCAGGCAATAGATAATGGGTGGTGCACATACGAAGCCTTAGTTATATACGTGATCAGTGGCCTCCCTGAAATGGAATTTCCAAAGGTTAGAATATCTGATCACCAGATACAATTAGTAATAAGTGGTCTCAGCCAGGCGCAGTGGTTCATGCCTATAATCCCAGCACTTTGGAAGGCCGAGGCGGGAGAATCGCTTAAATTATTATATGCAAATTATTATATGCAAATAATTATTTGCATGGATGGCCTGAGCTCATGAGTTCGAGACCACCCTGGGCAACATGGTGAAACCCCGTCTCTACTAAAATACAAAAAATTACCTGGGTGTGGTGGCACGTGCCTGTAGTCCCAGCTACGCGGGAGGCTTAGGCACAAGAATCACTTGAGCCCCGGAGACAGAGATTGCAGTGAGTCAAGATTGCACCACTGCACTCTAGCTTAGGCTACAGAGTGAGACTTTGTCTTAAATAAATAAATAAATAAATAAATAAGTAGTTTCTTCAGGTAAGATCACTTTTTACTTACAAGACCTGAACAAAACAAAAGATGAAATGTGAAACAAACTGTTTTTTCCTCCATTTTAAAAACACAAGACAATTCAGGCATAAGTGTGTTTTGAAAAATAGCGTATCTAAAGCCTTAGCTAAAACTAAACTTCTTATAAAGATCTTACCTTTTAGATTCAACTAGTTCAAAAGCATTTTTCTCCTTTGAAATGATTTTAAAGTATCTGCCTTGAAACAGCTTGTAGAGGGCAAGAGTCCCACTTCCAATCCCACAGCAGCTGTGAGCCAGAGCTCAACACCCACGTCCCCTGCTCTGGTCTACGGTGGTCTCCATTTTCACTATAGAAATATCCCATCACTAAGGCATGAAAGATCTCTTTCGCTGAAGAGAGAGGGATGAATTTCTCTGAAAGAGCCATCTCATCTCAGACCAATGAAAATAATAATCCTGTGAATTTTGTTATGCCCGGTCTCACTGGGTAGAAAGCATTACTTTAAAAAATAACCATGAGTCTCTTGAGGTTAATGTAAATCCATCCCCCTCCCCCTAAACCACACTGTCATAGTTCTCAGTGGAATCACAATCAGTTATTGTGTAGCAGAGAATGGTCATTCTCAACCAATGTTCAGGTAAAGAAAACCAGGCATTTCTCTTTATCCCACTAGTTTTAATGACTTTTATTCCAACTTTCATTTCTTATAGCACTGTATTTATTTAAGCATATTAGTAAGAAACAAAGATTACTCTAATTCCAAGTAATTTTAACTATTTTTAGTTACCAAGTTACCACATGCCTACTGTATTAAGAAGTATGGAAACTAAGACAGACACTGTCCCTGTGCTTGAACTTAAGCCAGGCTTTCCAGCTTCATTCACTTAGAGCACACCCCTTCAGTCTCCATGTCAGCAGCAGCCAGGCCAGTTATTCAGCACTGACACCTGTCTCTGGGGTCAATAGTCTTGCTCATTAAGGGAAAACAGTCATTTCTTCCTTCAAAGTGATTTTAAACCATTTGCCTAAAAAACAAACAAATTCTTTGTACATACCACTCCAATTTTTAGCCATCTTGAACATATTTGCAGCTCTGGTATACATTTCACAAGCCTCTTCTATTCTTGTGTTTCCTCTGAGAAAAAGTTAAAAAATAGGTTACATTTTAACAACCATCCACATCTCTAATTCTCCCTCCCTCAAATGATAAACATTTAGTATGTACTTGCTATGTGCCAGACAAGCATTACAGAATCTTAACCTCTGTTTAAAGGAGATACTCTTACTATCTGTTTTCCAAATGAGAAACTGGGGTGTTAAGTGGTAAAGTTACTAGCCCGAGGTGACATGGAAAGGATAGCTCAGAATTAAGACTCATACACAGGGCAAGGCATGATGGCTCATGCCTGTAATCCCAGAACTTTGGGAGGCCAAGGCGAGCGGATCACCTGAGGTCAGGGGTTCAAAACCAGCCTGGCCAACATGGTGAAACCCCACCTCTACTAAAAATACAAAAAGTAGCTGGGCATGGTGGCAGGCGCCTGCAGTCCCAGCTACTCAGGAGGCTGAGGCAGGAGAACCGCTTGAACCTGGGAGGCAGAGGTTGTAGTGAGCTGAGATGGCACCACTGCACTCCAGCCTGGGCAACAAGAGCAAAACCATGTCTCCAAACAACAACAAAAAAAGAAAAAAAAAAAAGACTCAAACACAGATCTGGCTGACCCCAGAACCAGAGGGGTTACAGACTAAAGATGTTACTCTGATTACATCTTTAATCAGAGTCCTTCCCATCTATAAAAGTTGTAAGTTTTATATCAGTCTGAGTAGTTAAAAGTAGGTTTTTCAAAGGAGATTAAATTTTGAAGGATAAAGACATCTTTTCCCTGTTATCTCCCAAGAGTTCAGCATTATGTTTATTCAGAAGCCACATCAGATGAGAAAGTGGCTTTCTACATTCTACAGCTGTATGATGTCAACTCTGGTAAGGGCAAGTCCTTCTCTAACCTGGAGGAGGCCTCAGGGTCCAGCCCAGTATAGAAATGCATTTTGCAACACCCTGAGAAATGCATTTTACAACACCCTGAGAGAAGGGTACCTCCACTGTTGCTTGAACATATACAGTTCTGCAAAGTTCTTCACCGAGCAGCTGACTCCACTGAGGGACAGCTCTAAGCTACTTGGAAATTTCTTTTCACATAAAAGCCAAAATTATCCTCCGTAATCCTCCAAGAGTTAACTTTGCTCTTACTATGCTAAGGTCCCTCCATGAAAGACGTTTATCTTGTCTATATACAATCATAAAATAACCAGCAGAAAACTGAGACGCAGTAGACTCTGTACAGTACACATAACAAGGAACTCAGTGGGGTGTGGACATAAGGACTCAGAGACAGGAGAGGTCGAGGCTGACACTGGATGCTGGACCTGGTATGAACACATGTACATGAAAGAGTGCACACACACGTGCCAGGAACTCCAATAAACTCCAAGCTCCAGCAGAGGAGCTTGCAGCTCCGTGTCAACACAAGTCCTAGTGCAGAGCAGAGGCTGGGCATACAGCAAGGCTCAGGTGTAACTCAGACCTTAGGCATTAACTACCAACAGTTTGACCCTGGACTAGTTCTTTAACTCCTTCACACCTCAGTTTTGACATGTGTAAATTGAAGATAATGTTATGTATACCTAGGAGTTATTATGAGGATCAAAAGAAATAATCCATATACAGCTGCCACTGCAGAGCTTCACCCAGAGTAGGTACTCAATCAGAATGGTTATCATATCTAGATCCATGTATGGAAGGCATAAAAACCTTTGTGAATATTACATTGTTATGTCTCATAAGGAACATGTTATCTAGAATAAATGCAAATCAAAACCACATATGTGATACCACGTGGCTCCTGCTAGAATGACTAGGATGGGCTACTGTCTGTCAAAAGACAGAAAATAACAAGAGTCAGGGAAGACATGGAGAAATCTTATATACGACTGGGAGGAATATAAAAGGGTGCAGCCACTTTGGAAAATGGGTTGGCAGTTGCCCAAAAGGTTAAACCTAAAGTTACCATATAACCGAGCAATTCCATTCCTAGGTACACACCCAACAGAAATCAGAATACTTCCCGTCAGGGCAAGGAGCCTCACACCTATAATCCCAGCACTTTGGGAGGCCGAGGCGGGAGGATTACCTGAGGTCAGGAGTTCGAGACCAGCCTGGACAACATGGCGAAACCCCATATACACTAAAAATACAAAAACAATTAGCCAGCATGGTGGCGCATGCCTATAGTCCCAGCTACTTGAGGGACTGAGGTTGCAGTAATCCAAGATCGCACCACTGCACTCCAGCCCACCGGTCTAGGCAACAGAGCGAGACTTTGTCAAGAAGAAAAGAAAAGAGAGAAAGGAAGAAAAGAAAAGAGAAGAGAAGAGAAGAGAGAAAAGAGAAGAGAGAATGGAAGGAAGGACGGACACATATCCACACAAAAACTTGTATGCAAGTGTTCACAGCAGCATTAATCATAATAGCTAAAAAGTGGCCAGGCGCAGTGGCTCATGCCTGTAATCCCAGTGCTTTGGGAGGCCGAGGTGGGCGGATCACTTCAGGGCAGGAGTTCGAGACCAGGCCGGCCAACTTGGTGAAACCTCCATCTCTAGCAAAAATACAAAAATTAGCTGGGCATGGTAGCGGGCACCTGCAGTCCCAGCTACACGGGACGCTGAGGCAGGAGAATCACTTAAACCTGGAAGGCAGGGATAGTGTCACTGTACTCCAGCCTGGGTGACAGAGCGACTCCGTCTCGAAACAAAAAAAAAGCTAAAGAGTGGAAACAACTCAAAAGTCCATCAACTGATTAACAGATAAATAAAATGTGGTATACACACACAATGGAATATTAATGGCAATAAAAAGAAATGACGTATCAATACATACTACACCATGGTTGAGCAGTCACAATGATTTCATTTATATGACAGGTCTACAGGAGGCAAATTTTTAGAGACAGAAAACAGGTCAGTGGTTGGTAGTGCTATGTTGTGAATGTTTTTGTCCCCTCCAAAACTAAGTTAAAATTTAATCCCCAATGCAACAGTGTTGGGAGATAGGGCCTACTGGGAGGTGTTCAGGTCATGAGCGCTCTGCTCTCATGAATTTATTAAGGCCACTAATAAAAGAGCTTGTGAAAGGGAGGTTCCATTTTCTCTGGTTCTCTCTTCTACCGTGTGAAGACAAAATAAGAAGGCCCTCACCAGATACCAGACGCTGGTGCCTTGATCTTAGACTTTCCAGCCTCCAAAATTGTGAGAAATACATTTCTGTTCTTTATAAATTACCCAGGCCAAGGTTATTGTGTTACAGCAGGGCAAAGCAGACAAAGACATCTAGAGGTGGGAGTGTTGGGGAAAAACAGGGAGGTGAGAGAAAATGACAGCTAAATGGTACAGGGTTTCTTTCTGGGGTGATGAAGATGTTCTAAAACTGCGGTGGTTGCATAGCCCTGTGAATATGCTAAAAACCTCTGAATTGTACATTTTAAATCAGTGAATTTTATGGTATGTGTATTAAATCTCAATAAAGCCTCTTCCCTAACACACACCAAAAGAAAAAATCAAAAAACAAACAAAAACCTTTGGGGACTATGTTACACAGTGAAAGATGGAATGGCAACAAGCCATACCAAACATGAAGTTTCAGAGTAAGCTACAGCTTTCTCTCACACCTTCACGTCCCTTTCCCTCCACTTCAAATCTACACAATTAAAAAAAAGAAAAGAAAAATAGCTAATAAGTTTCCTAAATGGAAAATTCCTGACATGAAAACGTTCTCAACCTTAGCCATACCTCCCTTGGCGTAAAGTCTTGCTACTTTCCTGGGTCTTGTTTTTCTAAAGAGTACTGGGAATCTTGAACTGTAATTATAGTTCAATCATTCTTATTAAAGGTTTCTAAATAAAACTAGCTTAATTAAAATGTATTTTATCCACTTATTTTCAGAGATAGATACAGCTAGAATTAACAGAGTTCCTACATTATTCTAGGTTTTATGCTAGATACTTCCTTATATGTTATGTCATTTTCATTATTACAACCATGAAAGACACTATCTCCATTTTACCGAAAAGAAAATGGTATATAGAGGTCAATGGCTTATCCAAGGGATTAAATTTAAGCCAAGGTCAGTAGTGTACCTGACACTTGACTTAAAGTTCAGTGATCTTTGAACCTTGCTAAACCATGAGATCCTGTCTCCTGAAACAGAATCACCAGAGGTAGCCTCACTTTAAAAATCCATTTGTCATAAACTGACCATAACTTTAAAACTTCATGAAAAAATGTACTTTTGAAATTACCCCTGATGCTTATTTTGTTTTATATGAAAATTAATTTTTTGTAAATTTTATGGACAAGTATTCAGAATTTGCATTCAAAGTAACAACTGTTATCCAGAGGTCTCACAGTGAGGCAGAAGATCCTTGGAAACAATATTCTGTGAAGAATCCATATTACACAGTGACATAAGTTAAATACATGACACTCAATTGACGTTAAGAAGCTAAACTGAGCTAAATTAACTATTGTTTTGTATTACAGGAATCTGACTTGGAAGAAGAAAACATTTTCCCCACTGTGAAAGAAAACACTGCCCAGCAAGCACAAAACCACTGCCACCTGGCTGCCTGGTGGTTCATGCAGCTGAACCACCCCTGCATTCCAGAGGCAAGGCAGACTCTCTTCTTCTTGACCATACTGACTCAGGAAACATTTACTGAGATCTATATGTGCCAGAAAACACTAAGGAAATAAACTTCTTGCCCACAAAGAGGTCACAACGTTGAGGAAAGAATATCAAGCTTCATGGCTAGAAGGGTCTGAGAAAAAGCCTATCAATTCCCCATGTTCCCTTGAGGAAACATGGTCAAAGCCAAAAATGTCCCACCAGAAGCCAGGGAACAGTAGAGCTATAAAAACCAATTCATCTTCAAATAATCTAGAATCTTGATTTCCCCCATCCTGAATAATAACTATTTCAGAGCATTGTAAAACTATGACAACCATAGTTTTTTTAAAACTGTGGGTGGGAGGAAGGAGATATCGTAGAATTGTGAGAACTAATGACACACACATCATGAGATG